CTGGATGGCATAATTTGCTCTAAATTGCTATAGACTTGTGTTTTAAAAGAAAACGTGAGTACTGCACTCCTGGTGCAATTCCTGCCATGCTGAGATTTTGTGAACAGGTCTCAAAAAAGCCCCAAAGTATCTAGCAATGCATATGACCAATTTCCAGCAAAAGTCCTCAGTCGAGCTTAAATCCACAACGGAAAACCTAGAGAGCCTGAGATTTTAGAGGGGAAAAATCCAGTGAGTAAAATTATTTTACTGTTTGTAGTAAACGCCACACAAGTTTATATTTCACAAAAGACTTCTATTCCCAGGTCATTGCATCAGTAAGCACGGCCTACTTTTAGTTTAGCAAACTAGTCTTCATGTTACATATTATTTTATATTTCTCAGGCAATACAAACTGACTGTACTGAACAGTGCAAAATATTGAAGTTCAAGGAATTCAAATGCCTAAACAAATTTCTGTTTAGGGTAAACAAAAGAAGACTTGGCCTACCTCTATTTGTTGTATCAGTGAAACTTGTGAACATATTTTAATGGAAACTTTTCACAATAATCTGTTGCTTATGCATTCAAAAATTCAAAAGATTATTTTTATTTTCATTTGAGAGAACAGAACTCTCTAGAGGAAACTTACTATATCCAACTCTGGTGTAAACAATCCTAGTTAAACTTACCATATTAAATTAGAACGATTTTGAATTATGATGACTGATCTACAGGATGAGTTTGGTGACAAACGTCCCAGAGTTATTGGTGACAAAAGTCCCAGAGTTATTTCTGTTGCCTCCTGGCATTGGATTCTTTCTCTATGTGTATAGTAACTCCAGGGAAGTACCTGGAATTGCACCAATGTTATATCAAAATACCTGAGAGGAGAATCACATAGGTTTCCACGTGTATTCCCCCAAACTGTAATTTATGTGTTCCAGCTTTGGTGGCTTCCCTCAATTTGTATCTGAAACTGGCAGACACAACTACACGGTGATTACAGGACAGCCTAGGCCGGAAAAAAAAATGTTCTAATTTCTCCCCAAAATGATCAACTGTGTCTTTTTTTTTTTTTAATGGCTTGATCATGAAGGGAGATACTTAAGCACTTTCACTTTTTAGACATACTTGGAAGTAGCCCAAAATCTCTTGCTTAATTTTTGGTTACCACAAAGTTCAGTTATCAGGGAATTCACATCATGTCTCACGTATCCTGTTGGCAAAGCAAGGACTGTTACAGGTACCTGACTAATGATGACTTCATTTTCATCCAAACTCAATCATTTTCATTCCAACAGAGTCCGGAAAATAACCACAGCCACATTCTTCACAGAGTTAGTTTTCTCTCATCTCCCAGAGTGCACAAGGTTCTTTCAGGACTACAATGAGTGCCATGTTAAGTAATACAAGAAGTGTAAAACTAACCAAAGAAGTGAACTAACATGGGAGAATTGCAATCTTGAAGCCATGAGATTTTCTGTGCCTGTTTAGATATCAGCTAACATTTTTGAGGTCATTGATGAAAAATAACAAGATAACCTAAAAAACCTGCATCACAAGTATGCTGATTTTTCAAAATTCCAATAGATCCCATTGTGCGTGCAATCTCAGCCTGCCATTATGCACAAGCCACCTGGCATTCACAGAAAAGTGTCCATATTCCATTAACCCATTCGTGAAAACACTTGTTCAAGAGAGGGGAAAATAATAAAGTAGTTTAGTACCAAATTCAGTCTAACATCAAAGTCACGGGACAGACTTCAGGTCTAGCGAACTCTGTATTCACCTTCCACAACAACACTATAATGATAACAATTCCTCAATTAGTACATTGAAAGAAGTACATTGCCATTTCTAGTTCATGCAAATTCAGAGTTTAACATTAGTCAAATTCTAATCTTGTTCAGTGGTACTAGGGATTTTGACTAGTAAATCCAAATGATTTTAGAACCATTTTTTATTTAAAAAAAAATGAGAAATATCTAAATATATTGCCAAGAAGCCAAATGCATAAATAGCTACTAGAGAATGCTACCACAGCATGGAACAGGAACCCCTCAAGGAGCAGCAGCAGTCCTCGCACTGTCTGACAAAGGGCATATTGCAGTCAAAATCTGATAAGCTATGTAAAGTTACCTGGGAATGCAAAGATGATATAGTATAAGATTCAGTACAACCACAAGCCCAGAGGCAAGACAGTGGGGAACCAAAGTTCAGTGAGCTATGCAAAATTTCCATCACTCTGATAAGTCAGTCTTTCCCATGAGGGCCTCTCCAACAACAACGAGTAAAACATCAAAAAGACAGATCTATAACATTGGATGGTGTTGACTTGTAAACTCATGTTATCAAGCCCAAGAGCCTCCACATAACATGCTGAAACTGGATACATGAAGCCTCAGGATGCCAGTGAAACAGTTTTAGATCATCACATCACACACTGAAGAAATATTAATTAAGATATGCTATCTATAAAAAGCATTTGCAACTCATCCAAGAGATGAGTGCCATCACTTGCAATAAGTAGCTCCTTATAAAAGTTGTCTTAC